GCTTCTCTCACCTGCTATCGTACCCCTCTCTGCCTTCCTGATGTCCCATCACCACTTTCCCCCTAGTCCTAGTTGGGGTCTATGTGGTATGTCCTTCTGTGCCATTGTGTTTGTTTTCAATATTTCTTGTATTCAAGAATTTTAGTTATAACTGTTGGAATATCAACAATAGTTTCCTTCTGTGTCATTGTGTTTGTTTTCAATACAATTTTAGTTATAACTGTTGGAATATCAACAATAGTAATTATCATTTCTATTATGATTTGGATTAACTCTGATATCATTAATATATAATATTATTATTAAACAAGTAAAAGTTCACTAAATTAATCAAATAATATAAAAGCTAACATTGAACATAATATCAAGCTTACAATAAGTTGTTTGTTGAACAACAAACAAGTTTGTTCATGAACAAAAATAAGTTGGTTTGATGTTCATGTAGCCTTTAAGATTTTAGAAATGGTTCAAACACATTTAACTGAAATTTGAATAAGAATTAATTTAGCCAAGTTGAGTCAGTCATCAAGTGAATGGTTCACTTATGGACCTAATTAAAACAGAAAAAAAAACTTTTACCAATACAGTGAAAGTAAAATAACAAATACAAGACATAACGAAAAATAATGATCTCCATTTGGGTAAATCAAATTTGGTCTTGGTGAAAAAAATTAAAATTGGATGAGAGATGAACTCAATTTAGGAATCAAAGAGAAATAATCACAGTCAAGAAAAGTTATCGTTTTATCACAAATCATGCACTGATACAAATAATTTTTACATTTTTCTTTCATGATTCAAGTAAAAGAATTCAACCCCAAAAACTGTTAAGTTCCTTTTTTGAATTTTCCTTATTTACATCTGTTGGTGTGTTTCAGCTCAAGCATGTGCCTACCGGTTCATTGCTTCGTCTAGTTTGTACTATATAACCGTCTTTCTATTTTTACCTCATGTAACCTATACATAGATAGGTATTATTCTAGATGTGTAAGCTACTTTATTCTCTAAAAAATAAAAGTTCTGGTTTCCTTTTCTTTCTTTCCAATTTATCTTGGTATTAGAACTTTAGCCTCTCGGCAATTTTCCTTCTCGTCGTCGGCTTGACTGTTCTTCTTCCCATTTGTACTTGCCTTTGGCTTGTTTATTCGGCAGCCAGTTCTTGTGTTCATTATGCAATACCCATTCACGATCGTCTCCATTCCAAGCAGTTTGCTTGATGTTCTTTACAGCAAGTTAAATGCGCCTGGGTATTATCCTTCTCTTCTTGTCATCTCTTGATCTTTTTCTTGCCATTCTTTCTTCCTTCCTGCTTTTCTCATGAGTACCAGATCAAATTCGTCTATCAACATTGCTATAGTGAGTAATCTGAGTATCACTCTACCAACTGATAGACAAATCCCAACCCAGTTGAAATTCCTGTTAGAAAATATAAAGAATGTTGTCTTTTTTGCACTTAATGCTGATAATAATCCCATTTGGAGGGCATAAGTGCTGAAAATATTTTGTGTCAATGGGTATGAGGGCTTCCTTGATGGTTCTTGTCACCGTCCTCACCAATTTATCCAAACCTCTTCAGAAATTGATAATCTCAATCCTGATTACAGCAAATGGGTTTTCATGGATCAAAATTTTGCCCGGGCTATTTATTTAATTGTTTCTCCTTCAATTCTTCACCATTTTCTTAACCTTCAAACTTGTGTTGAAATTTGGAGCATTGCTGAACGAAGACTTTAATCTTCCAATAGATCTCGCATTCTCCAACTCAAAAACCAATTACACAATGTTTCAAAAGGAGATAAAACCATGAATCAATATCTTTCTGAAATCAAATACAAAGTGGATGGTCTAGCCACCGCAGGAGTAATTCTTCATGCTGAATACATAATTCTTTATGCTCTCAACGGTCTTCCCTCCACCTATCTATATGGAAAATTCTTCAAATGGATGAATCCAATGCATTTCTTCATGGCGATCTACATGAGAATGTCCATATGCAGCAACCACAAGGTTTTTTCAATCAACTTCATCCTACTTATGTCTCTAAACTTAAAAAGGCCGTCTATCGACGCAAGCAAGCACCTCGCTAATGGCATCATACCATCACTACATATCTTCAACAACTTCATTTTAATCCCAGCTTTGTCGATCCTTCTCTCTACTGCTACTATCACAATAACATCCAAATATATATTTTATCTATGTGGATGATATCTTAATTGTTGGAAATGACTCTCATACTATCAATATTACTCTTCAGAGCTAGCATAGCAAATTCAAAATGAAAACACTTAAATCAATTTCCACATTTCTTGACATCGCAAGCTACTCCTACTTCTTATGGTCTACATCTAAAACAAGCCACATATGCTCAACAAATTCTTCATACCTCTGAAATGGCAAATTCCAAATATGTGCAAAATCCTACCAATGACAGGAAATCTTCTGAACCTTCTGATCATACTCTCTTTCATGATTTTTTTTATCGTAAACTAATTAGTTCTTCGCAATACTTGACTCTCACGCAACTTGAACTTATGCGGTAAATCAATCCAGTCAAACAACGAATCAACCAACTTAACATAGCTTTCAACAGTTAAAGCATATTCCCTGATACTTACAAGGCATCACTGAAGCTTACCAATCATTCGAGGGACCTTTGAACTCAAAGCTTTTGTCGATGCCGATTGGACCGGTGATCCCATTGATTGGAAATCTACTACCAATTTTTGCATATTTCTTGGATCTACACTTATTTCGCGGTTTGTTAAAAAGCAACAATTGCTAAGTCTTCTACTGAAGCGAAATATCGAGCCTCAGCTACGATTGCGACAGAGATAGTTTAGCTATGACGTTTACTTTAAGATTTTCAAATTCCTCCTTCAGCTCCTACCCCTCACTACTGTGACAATACTTCCGCCAGAGCATTTGTCAATAATCCGGTCTTTCATGCTCGCTCCAAGCATATAGAAATTCATTGTCACTACATCAGAGAATGCATCAAAAATCAATTAATTATTTTTCAACATGTCAACAAAATTGAAAAATTAGCTCATATATTTACCAATCCTGTTTCCAATTCCAGGATCAAGTCTCTTCGCACAAAATTAACAATCTTCGACAAAAATCATCAATTTGACGAGGCATGTTAAGTTCTTACTTTGAGTTTTCCTTATTTACTTCTGTTGGTGTGTTCCGGTTCAAGGGTGTGGCTACCGGTTCACTGCTTTGTCTAGCTGTCTTTCTATTTTTACCTCCTGTCACCTGTATATAGATAGGTGCTATTCTGGATGTGTAAGCTACTCTATTCTCTAAGAAATAAAACTTTTGGTTTCCCTTTTCTTTCTTTCCAATTTGTCTATCACAATAAAGCATAAGGTTAAATTCAAATGGATGACACTCTTAAGAGTTAAAAGTTGCCATTGAGAAACTTGCAGCGCAATGAACCTAGCTAATTTTTATAAATAGTTACTTGATTGGTTTAGCATTCCGTCAGTATGTCATGCTGTAGTCTGTAATGATCTAGAAACCACCAAGCAGTAAAACAAAAATTGAGCAATGTTGTACAAATCATACATCTTACTATTAAGTATGATTCAACCTATAATAGCTGGGTTAGTTCAAAGCTATTTCCCTCAAGTCAAATATAATCTTAATAAGTCGTTTTTTAGCCATCATGAAGCTCCCAGGAATAAGGAGATGAGCGGCATGAGCCATATGCAAAACTCTCATTGAGTTCTCCCCATTCAATGATTTTTGCCCCAAAACTGCTAGTGACATGAGAACTCATCGAAGGCAAATGTGTGTCTAACCTCAATATGAGGTGGAAAGCTTAATATAGCATAAAACCAACCTAGTTAAGGTGACATCCTACCTAAGGAATATACATTCGTCCAAAGCATCATAGCTAGATCATGCTTACAGAGAGAAAATCTAATTTTTAAAGCACCTTTCACTTAATGCTTGAGTGAAGGTGACTCTTCAATCGGTAAAAACTTATTTAAATTATTGGCACAATATATATAATATATAACTTTTTAATAAACCAATTAATTAAAATAAGAAAATATTTATAAGAATGAGCCAAGTTCATTCCATTTCAAATTTTTAAGTCTATTTATTGAACGTTCATCTGCCAATTCATTGACACACGCAACTCTTGAGTTTCACTCACTTGACTTTTCTTAGAGATGTACTCATGACCACATTCTCAGCCACGACCAGAGTTGAATTTCATTACTTGAATCACATTTATAAGTGTAACGACAAAAACTAGATCAAAACATTGCCTTAGTCCAATAAAAAACCAAGTATATTCTAGCGAAGAACTGCTTTAAGCTATTTCAAACTATATTTCATTGAACTCCTTATTGTTTGTCCCAACTTAAAATTAGTGCCCCAACTTTGTAGTTATGCTCAAGTCCATAATTCCATTAAAAATAGTAGTTAGTTCTATAATCTTTACAGCTAAGTTAGCAGCATATTCTTTATAGATCTTACCTTTAAATTGGGTTCTATAATACCATGAAGGGTGGGTAGATAGACTGGTAGAGTTCCACATCGCAAGTTACTTGGGTTCCTACGTTTCTGTCATGTGTTATCTAACTGAAAAAGATGAGGGCGAGGACCTAAGTGAGTGACAGATAAGAATTAAAATGACAAAGGGATCAATGAGAAGATCAGACCTTTTAAGTAATTCTACCCTTATTTGCATTAAACTAGGAGCGCCAGTTCAATGCTGCCGTAACAGAATAAAAAAGGTGATGCTGACAATATTATTCTTCTCTGAACTTGTTCCATAGTAATTTATCAGCAGCATGTTGAAACCATTGGGCCATCACAATGTCCCATGTAGATGCACATAAATGTACCACCCAAAAAGGTTTAGATTTCACTAAGTCATATTGCAAAATTATGATTGATATGGCATGGAAAAGAAGAAAGAAACTTTCACAATAAGTAGTAGATGAGACCTGAGTAATAAAGAGTACAGGTCAACATACCTTGTGAACAAGAATGGTCCCAGCTAAACCTCTCCGACCAGCAACTCCTCGAGGTGGTGGTAAAGCACAATCATCTCCAACAATAACCATCTGCAACACTAAATTATATGCTTGATGCGTGAAAACTTTTGTGGGTTAGTTCAGCAAATTGATTACCTCCACATTATAGCCTTCAGATTTTGCTTCCTCAGCTGCTAGACCAAAGTTAAGTCGATCACCAGTATAATTCTGTAATCATGAATATGAACAGCTCTTTCCAATGAAAACGCAGCTGGCATTGAAAACTAGAAATAAAAATTTAAGATTTTACAATGATAAAGTTCAGGTTATCCTAGTAGGGCCAAGAAATCACAAGCTATGAAAGAAAAATCAAGACTTCCAAAAAGTTACCAAGGAAGCAACTTTGTCATGAAACTTTAATAGAATATACAAAAGTCGAACATTAATGACAAACAAACATGGGTCATAGCCATAAAATGTTACATTTATTGGAACCTTGGTAATCCAAAGGAAAGTACCGTGACTATCAGAAGGCAACCATTAGGACCAGTGACAGCTCGAATTGCCTAAATATTTGAGCATGTTAGTATAAGATTGGAAGTTTCATCCGGTATAGTATATGGAATAAGTAGCCATACAGCTAATATGGAATCAACATTGGGAGAGGTGAAAACATCTCCACAGACAGCAGCTGTGAGCATGCCCTCGCCAACATATCCAGCACAAGCAGGTTCATGGCCACTACCACCCCCTGTGTAGAAAAAAAAAATATCAGAAGGAAACAGTACGAAGCAATTCATGCACTGACAGTTTACTCCGACTGCTAACAGATTAAATAAATGGATATCCAAGCAAATTTTGATATAATTTTTACGCCTTCCTGCATATCAAGTTGGCTGTAAGGAAAAATTGTAAGCTCAAAACTGAAACTTAATAGTAGGGACACAGGCGTGAATCATGATAATGATGATTTGAAAGGACTGGAAGCATTCATACCAAAATCTTTAAAACTAAGGTTTTGAAAACGAGATAAGACAATGTGGAATTACTTGGGGAGGGAAAATTGCTCTATTCATTAATCACAAATAGGGTAGATATATATATAGAGAAATCAATCCCTCCTTATTTAGAAACTTATCAAGCATACAACAACAACAACGACAACAACAAAGCCTTAATCCCACTGCGTGGGGTCGGCTACATGAATCATTTTTCTCCATTGCGTCCTATTTAGTGTCATATTTTCATTTAGTTCTAGTAAATTAAGATCATTTTTAATACAATAAGCCCAAGTCTTCCTAGGTCTACCTCTGCCTTTCTTAATGCTAGTCGAATTTAAAACATCTACTCTCCTAATCGGATCATCTAATGGTCGACATTTAATATGACCAAACCATCTAAGATGACTTTCTCTAATTTTGTCTGTCACAGGAGCTACACCAACCCTATCACGAATATATTCATTCCGCATTTTGTCTCTAAGTGTAAAGCCACTCATCCACCTAATCATTCTCATCTCGGCAACACTTAACTTATTATTATGCTTCTCTTTTAAAGGCCAACATTCAGCGCCATAGAGCATTGCAGGTCTCATCACCGTCTTATAAAATTTTTCTTTCAGTCTTAGCGGTACTTTTCTATCACACAAAAGGCCCGAAGCATTCCTCCACTTCAGCCAACCAACTTGAATTCTACTATTAACATCCCCATCTATATCACCATCGCTTTGGACAACGGACCCAAGATATCTAAATCGTTCACACCTTTTAATAATTTGATCACCCAAAGTCACACTTCTGTCACTAGAGCTATTACTACTAAAATTACATTCTATGTATTCAGTTTTAGTTCTACTTAAACGAAGGCCTTTAGACTCCAATGTAGACCTCCATAATTCAAGTTTTTCCTGGCTTTTTCTCTCGTTTTATCCACGAGAAGAATATCATCAGCAAAAAGCATACACCAAGGTACATCCTCTTGTAGATGTCCAGTAAGACCATCCATAACTAAAGCAAAAAGATATGGGCTTAAAGTCGATCCCTGATGTAAAACAACAGAAATAGGAAAATATTTTTTCAATCCTCCTTCAGTTTGAACACAAGTAACAGCTCTAGTATACATATCTTTAATGACTTGAATATAAGTCATATCAACACATTTCTTCTCGAGAACTCTCCAAAGGATATCTCTTGGAACCTTATCGTAAGCTTTTTCTAAATCAATAAAAATCAAATGTAGATTCTCCTTATTATCTCTGAACTTCTCCATCAAACCTCTCAATAAATGTATAGCTTCCATAGTAGACTTGCCCGGCATAAATCCAAATTGATTATGAGAAATTTTTGTGATGCATCTTAACCTATGTTCAATTACCCTCTCCCATAATTTTAAAGTATGCGACATCAACTTAATTCCTCTATAATTTGCACACTCTTGTGCATCCCCTTTATTCTTAAAAATGGGGATCAAAATACTCTTCCTCCACTCCTCAGGCATCTTTTTAGTTTTTAAAATAATATTAAAGAGTTTAGTAAGCCAAGAAACTCTCAAATCTCCCAAATATTTCCACACTTCAATTGGGATATCATCAGGTCCTACAGACTTTCCACCCTTGGTTTTCTTTAAAGCCTCAACTTCTTTTTTGCTAATGCAACGGTAAAAATGAAACGTTTTATTATTATTCACGATTTATTATTATTCACGATATTAAAATCACTAAATTCGATCGTATTTTCAAAAACTTCATTAAAAAGTTTATCAAAGTAACTCACCCACCTATGTTAAATATCTTTTTCTAAGGAAAGTACTTTTTGATTTTCATCTTTAATAAACTTTACTAAAACTCATATTTTTCACCCTCCTTAGTATCTAATCTATTATAAAAATCATTAAAAGCAGAGTTTTTAGCGTCACAGATTGTTCTTTTAGACGCCCTACGGGCCGTTTGATATTTTTTCCAGTTATCTAAGCTTTTACATTTAAAATCATTTTTATAACATAAATTCTTATATTTTATTTTTTCTTGCACATTATTATTCCACCACCAACTATTTTTATTTGTAAATATTTTTTCTTTTGATTCTCCAAGAACATCTTTTGCTA